CAGCCTCAGTAAACACTCTAGAGTCTCGGGAATTACGTCTTTTGCTCCTCCTAAAATATCAGGTGGAAAAGGAAACCTACCAAGTGGTGTTGTGAACTTGCCCACGTATATCTTCTGCGAATATAGCAGTTCCTGTTTCCTGAATCTGAAGTATTTCTCCAGATCATCTCTTTTGCCAGTACCATGCATCCGTAAGGATCTTGTGGTCGGTGTTTTAAAATCAAACAATGTAGGCGGTAGGTACCTACTTGATATAAATATGTCATTTCCATATTTTTCAATCAGTCGAACTCTTATGGTCTTGAGATGTGGTATGGTATCTCCTCAACTTTGCTGATAAGTTCGTTCATGGAAGATTGACACTATTCATCATTGCTTTCAAGAAATGTGTAAATTATTGATGTCATTACATCATCAACTACAAGGTCTGCCAGCCGGTTGTGATAGATTTAAGGTATACCGTCTTCAAGCTTGATCTATGATACTTGGCGTTAGCTGCACAGGCAGAATTCGTCTATGTTGTTAGCAAACTCAGTGTTGCAACACTCCTGAATTCTATCTTTTATATCCAAAGAAGTTACAACGTTTACTGGATCTCTTTATTTTATTTTTGCTTTCGACTGTTGAGTGTTGTTGCCTGGGTAATTCTTGCCTACACAGAAACCAGTGGGCATTACAATTAAATACATCTACATCCGAGCGGGTTGCGACGCTACGTCCTTGTAGTTGGACTCTCTTCAAAAAATGGGCTTCTATGCTTCAGTCAGTCGCATAATGTTTGCGACATTTTATATGAACTTTTGGGGAAATTCTCTTGAAAATTTCAGCCTCACTATCCTTTCTTCTACTGGCCAAAAGAAAGGATAAAAGTCTTATGACATCAAAGACACTCGCGGTCGGGCATTTTTCACTCATTTATAAGCCACGATACGTTTAAATGACATGTAAACAAGGAACACACAACAGATAAAAACCGAGCAGGATTATAACACCCTTTCCTGACACCGATTTCCTGGACTATGACGGATCTGGACAAATTCATGTCAGACATAAGAAATTTAGAAACCTAAACACAGCGCAGGCTTAAAAACCTATGGACATGGACAAGTGTACTAGTCTCCTGACTCCTGAACAGTCTTCAGATTGAAAGAAATAACCAATATATTAAATACAGCATTAACAAAACCGAGATCTCACAAGTCACAGAACAGAGAAACCTGGGACTGGGAGTGATAATAACGGACAGCCTGAAATGGGAAACCCATATATCTCGAATGGTAAAAAATCAATCACTCTGATAGACCTAACTGGGAGAGCTTTCAGCAATAAATCTGTAGAATTATTAAGAAAAATCTGTGTGCTCTTCATTCGCCCAAAGCTGGAATACTGTCTCACAATATGGAACCCATACTACATCAGAGATATAGTCGATCTAGAACTATAGTATTTCCAAACTCAATTGGAACAAGGTACCAACTGGTGGGTGACTTGTCACTGAAAATTTACATTAGAAATACACTGCCACTTCCAATTGACTTTGGAAAAACTTTTTTTTTAATACTATAGAAAGGACTTAGAGAAGATGCATGAGAATCCCTAGAAGTCAGAAACACTAGGAAGACATATTGAGGATGTTCAATCTACTGACCTTAAAGAAGAAGAGGGAGAGGAGACCCCATTGAAACCTTCAAGATCATCCATGCACACTATGATCAAGCCCTAAAAGTCACTTTTGTTATGTACAAATTTTGCCTTAGTACGTAACTAGGGATTTCGAATAAATTTACTAATTAATTCAGGTATTTGTGGGGGTATTTATGAAGCTTTATACCTAAGGTTTAATATTTTTCGGTGATTGATAGGTTTCTCATTGGATTTTACTAGTTTTCTACCTTTTTGATTGAATACGAAACAATAGGTCTGTTCGCAGAGAAATCACAAACCAGTCAGAGTGAATCTTATTGGTTGAAACTAGGTTTCTGACTGTTTCTGATTGTTTTCAACCAATGAAATTCGCTCTGACTGGTTTGTGATTGCTGTGCGAACAGGCCTAATATGTGGGTGTTGAACGAAGGTATATTTTTCGGAGTAATACTGAGTTAATTCTTGTATTCAGATGACAGGGTAGTTTTAGGATAATAAAGCCCTACTAATAGGATTGAAATCCATTTTATTTAGCTTACGAAAGTTGTCTAAAAAGCCCTAACTGTTGATGAAAATGTTTGTTTACTTCCAAATACTTATCAATTGTCAACACTTACGAGTCTCGTATTTTCTATTATTAAAAATTCTGCAACACCACAAATCACCCCCTTAATTCCGATATTATTTACATTTTCCTAGTTATTTATTTTCCCCGAATAAGTGTGGTTGTGGGACACTTGTTGATCCTGTTCAGCAAGCGCTGTTGCCGAGGTTTCTTAACCTTTGTTGCTAGGGCGTTGCTACTACGTTGCTATCGCTGGACGACCGGGTAGATGATGATTATTAATTCATTAATTAGTGTTGGGGGACAAAATTAGATAACAACTTTGGGTTTTGTTGGTCATCAATGTGGTTTGGGTTGTTCGTTTCAAGCTGATTGTCTCGTTTTCCTGGTCAATACCGGAAATCTGGCACCAGAGGGCATCTTGAAAAAAAATCAAATTCTGGGAAATTTTTCATATGAGCTCACCAGTGTCCTTATTCTTGAAACAGGGGAGCAGTTTTCCCGGGAGAACGGGTGTTCCTTCTACCTCAAACATATGCAAATGATAATATGAGTAACAATGACGGAACACTCGTTCTCTCGGGTACGCCGCTCCCCTGTTTCAAGAATAAGGACTCAGGTGAATTGCGTCGTTCTCTTTAAATTCGCACGTTGAGCAAGCAACAAGTTGTTTGGCAGATTTTACCAGCGGTCCTATTTGCTGCGTTCCTTGGAACATCCACCTTTTGTGGGATTTTAGAGCCGTTGAGAACTCAAGTGGTAGCTGGCTTAATTGGTTTTGGGGTGAAAACTTGGATTTGGTCGTGAGTTTCCGTATTTGTAAGCCACCACTCAAATAAGGGGAAACTCTCAAAAAGATACAATCAGAAAAATACCATCTTCTTCAAAAAATACACTTTCTCACAAACCGAGTTGTTATAACACGTGGAACAGCTTCCCAAAGAGTGTAGTGAGTGTAGAAAACATGAAAATATTTAAAAACAGACTTGACAAGCACAATGAAGTGAGAACCAACTTTGTGACCTACATGTGAATTGGCAAAAAGTACAAACAGTAGATTCATTGGCGAAAACTATTATCCTACTGTGAAGAAAAATGTATACGTAAAATATGAAGTTGCACCACAAAAGATAACAGCAGTATCACCCAACAATCCTAAAAACTTGTCTACGTTCCCTGTACCTCTCGAAAACACCCAGCGTTGCACCTGCTACTCCATATGGTTATACGAAACCAATATGATATAAGATTTCTCGATTACATCGTTTTGTATATAAAGCGCGTAGTTTGTAAGTCAATCAGTCAGTAAAAAGAGTTTCAGTAGACCCGCCAAATCCGTAACAACATAAAAACCTATTTTCCTTATTTTCGAATTTAGTTTCTAGTTCTAGTTGTTCCAATAGTATTATAATCTCATCCTTGTTCGATATAGTTCTTCCTTTATATATTATCCTAATACTAGGGAGCCTAATTTTTTATTACATTTACTCTTAAATTTAACATTAATGCACTTCTATTGTTTTCTTTATTGTTCCCCTAAGCTCTGTTAGTTTACACTTCAAGCACAATAAATGCATAATACCCATTATCCTAAGAAATATAATTTTATTAGGGTTGCATAAACTCAAAACTATTTCTGAGAAAAACAACAAACACTTCTAATTAATTTATTTTCTACATAAAATAATTTGGATGTCTTCCAATCACGAGGACGATCACATGATTCTAAAAACAAATCTCAACTTGCCATTTATTATCCTAGGACCACATTAAGAATATGATTGTCTCTTTTAGTAAATCGTTCTATTATTGTTGCAGGAACAATGAAAAACGCAAAGAAAAATCCCGAGATGCCGCACGTTCCAGGAGATCAAAAGAAACAGAAATTTTCAATGATCTTAGCGACGCTTTGCCCTTGCCCCAGGAACAAGTCTCCCAGCTGGACAAGGCTTCTGTTATGAGATTGGCTATTTCTTATCTCAGAGTGCGAGATATGATTAGTCTTGGTAAGTGTACCTTGTTTGCAGCAAGAAGGTTTTTTTAATTGGAAATTTTTCTTGTAGTTCCTGGGCTACCAATAAAAGACAAACTACCAAAACCTATGGAAGAAGAAGCAGCTTTTCTCAAATCCCTAGAAGGCTTTCTGCTAGTTGTATCGTCCGAAGGCGACTTTGTTTATGTATCCGAAAACGTTAGCGATTATTTGGGTGTCACGCAAGTTGATCTTATGGGACAAAACGTTTTCGAATACAGCCACCCGTGCGATCATGAGGAAATTAAAGACATGTTAGCAGTGAAAAATCAAAAGGACAGTGAAGCTCCCAAATCGTTTTTCATAAGATTAAAGTGCACTCTGACTAGTAAAGGACGATCTGTCAACTTGAAATCAGCTACTTTTAAGGTAAAGTGAGTCTCATAGCGTAAACAAATCCTAAATAATTATGTCAAAAAGACATAAGCCCAAAGCATTTATTGAAAACAATTTTAGGGAAACTTTGTAAAACTTCACAATAATTTCTCTTTGTAAGTTATCAATTTCATTTTTTCATTCTTTCATTTAGATTTTATATTCCTGGCGGTACTTTTGAACCTCAATTCCAACATCAACTATACATACATACCTATATTATGGCCTGCCCTTTACATAGTTTCAATGGTCTAAGTTTTATTCCCTAGATTGTTTTTGTTCAATTTTTGTCGATTTACTAAAATCGCCCTCCGTGAGATTGTGTAAAGAGAATAAATTTAGAAGCAAGTGCAATCAACATCCATATTTTTCAGGTCATCCATTGTACTGGTCACATAATAAAAGACAAATCCAAAGACAAAGAATCTAGCATATCCAGTTGTCTGGTAGCCGTCGGTCAACCCATACCGCATCCATCCAACATAGACATACCACTGCCTAGAGAAACATTTTTAACAAAACACAGCTTGGATATGAAGTTTACACATGCCGATGACGAATTGTGAGTTTTCAATATTTCAATTGAATTACCTTCTATTAATTTTAATTATTTTTTTTAGTATGATAGACCTTTTGGGTTATTCCTCAGATGATCTTATTGGCAAATCAGTCTACGAGTACCATCATGCTGTGGACAGTGAATCTGTTGGATTAGCTTATAAATGTTGTAAGTAAATAATTTTGTGAGGAGAAACAAATTTAAATTTATTTTAGACTACACTTAAAGTCTACTGAAGTAGAATAATGTAATTACTAAAATATTTTGGTGGAAATGCGCAAATGCTGCTGCCTTATTGTAAGTGCATTCACTCGCGTTAATTTTATACCAAATTCCTGCAGGGAAATCGTCTATGAGACTAAGATAATTTCTTTCTTTGGCATCTGCCTCCCAAACAGACTCCATTTCTGCATTGTCCTTGATGTGTTTCAAGACTGAGGCAAATTCTAAAAAAAAAAAATATCCATTTTCCCAATTTTAATTGTGTCAAAATTTATTTACCCAAACCATTGTCAGCATCCGCATTACAATTCCACATTAGCACAGCATCATCTCCAAACCTAAGGCTGACATCTTTATAGACTGTGGAAGATTGGGGTCTATTAATAGACAAAACTATGCCAGTATCATTTTCGGCTATAGTTCCATTCCAAATCTGAATCAGCATGTATGGTTGCCGAGATTGCCAAGCTACATGGTTTAAGTCACAGTATAGTGAATCGTTTTTGCAACTTATTTCGTAGTAGGAACATGTTTCGTCGTTTAGGGCTTTGTTTATGTAGAGATGTTCGTACCAGCGGCCATTCAGCTGTAAGTTTTGAGAGAAAAATGTGTATATAAATGTGTTTGTAATAATAGTTAGGAATTATAACAGCTACTTACAAATGTTGTACTAAGTTGTGGCGTCTTTGGACCTTCAGGACATTGGGTTTCACCCATAACCACTGCTACCAATAAAGTTGCAATGTAACAAATCTTAATTGCAGTATCCATCTTTACTGTACAAAATACTGTAGCCAAAAGAATTGTTTTTCCACTTTGGACAGGGTTATCGTAGGCAAGCACTATTTAGCAAAGTGGCAATCTGTTCCAAGTTTCAGTGGTTTTTGTGTGTGTACTTCCACATTGGCGGAACATATTGTTTGTTTTTACGCATGAAGGAATTGAGTGATCAGACTATGTTTTTGTTTTATCAACTAAGTACTCTAGAACTACTATTTCGTTGAAAATTAATTTTCAATTATATTCTATTCATTTTGTAATTCATTTCAATTATTGAATCGTTTGTTCCGCCTATGAAAAAAATCTCAACACACTGAATAACACATCACCCATCAATCCCTACTGTTTGCATAAGATATTGAATACTTTTACGCCTGTTCAAACACATCAAATTGGCATGGAACTCTCTGCTGGTATCTAACATAAATGGAGATTGATCCGTTTTAATCATTTGCCATAATAAAATTCTGTCACGTAGATGCTTGTATCTTCTAGTTCCAGTAGAGTGGAGCTTTTGAAAGCTTTAAGAAGGATTTTACTATGCACTGAGAATAGAATTATAGGATAGTGTATTGTGTCAACTTCTTGAGGAAAAAAAGGGACACAATAGATTTTCACTCTCATATTTTTATATTGCTTTTATTATAATAACAGTGAACACAAAATTCGTAAAACGTTTCATAACCACGTACGCAATTTTTCTTAACTAAGTAAAAAAAGCAAGAAAATATAAATTATCCTTTCTTGCTTTCGGTTCCTTGTCCTGCGAGTTTTATTGCTGGATAAAGAGGAAAAACGAGCTATAGGGCACTGTAAGACTTTAGGAAGTCTCGAGAATATAAAAACGAAATTGGATTTTGCGAAATAAAACAAAAGCACGGGTCAGCAGAAAAATATTCGTCACTTTTCTAGAATATTTTAGGAATAATCCTTCAGCTGTTTTGTTTCCAAAACACAAAATTCGCTGTGACTTTTTTCCTTATTTCATTTTCCGAGGAGTGTTAACGTTAGTGGGATTTTCTTTTATTGCCTTTCTGTAAGCATACAATTTAATTTTCTAGTGGCTATGAAATCCTAAAATAGGGCTTTTAAGTAGTTACAAGCTAGAGTTACGGTCGGTGCCTTTTTGGATAATGGTGTCAGTAGAAATGAAAGACATCCGAGATTACTTCAGCTAAAAGTTTCAAATTCGTTTTCAGTACGGAGTACGCCTTGTAATAAAAGAGAGGAAATTGCTCGTGGTGAATGCTCGGAAAATAGAGCTTTGTATTTTCCCAGGGTTTTCATAACGGTGGATAGAATGTGTTTTTACTTGTGTAACTAATCGATAATTACCAAGCTGGAGTAATTAAATGAAATTCTAGTGTAATCATTTCTACTAATAGTTCGCAAGTGAAGTTTGCTGATTTTTCATTTTTATATAAAGTAATGAAGTGCTGATGTAACTGCCTCACAAAATTTTTTTCTTGAAAAATTGCCAGATTGTGTGGTTTAGATTTCCGGTTTCCTCATGTGATTCGAATACCGTTATAACTATAAACTATTAGTATTCAGTTTTTGAATTCAAATCGCCTATTTCAAAGTATTTGCATCACAATTGTGTGATTTGTTGGTAGACAATATAAATTATTAATCTTCAATGTCAAATTTAGAGAGGGAACTTATTCTAGCTTGAAGGGAGAGATAATAAATAGCATGACGCGATGCGTGAAAACCAAGATAATTTCTCCACTTCATCAAAGGATCAATTTTTTTAAGCCTCGAATTGAAAATTTAATTAACGTATCATCAAAAATGATATCCCTCATCAAGGGGATTTATTTATTTTTCGGTCAATCGGACTGTATGCCTTATATGAAACCCAGTCCAGCGTAATGATTAAAAAGGAGAGAAAATTTGAAGCTTGATCCACTTTACATGAAAAACAGCTCCATTGATGGAAAAATTATATGGCTATTATTCTCCTTAACCAAATTATTTGAAACTTTGGCAGGCGAAGACAAAACCACAAATTTAAAAAATCGTACTGATTCTCGGAATCCTGAAAAATTCACATAATAACTTTCTGAATTTGGGTTATTGTTTCAACATACATATTTTTGCAGGTTTAATAGGTACCAGGTGATTGGCTATATTTTGCACCCACACCTATCTCACCTGTTTGAAAAGTTACCCAGAAATGTCAAATGTGAAAGTTGTAGGTAATAGGCGCCGGTCACAAATTCTCCTAGCGACAGTTTTCAAAAGAATTTGTATAATAAACAATTGGCATTTTGACAGAAGCCCAATATAGTCCTAAGGCCGGGGTAGACGTTCCGTCATGTTCAGCAACTTGCTTGTGCAATCTAATGGCGTTTCCGATTGGTAGATTCAGTGCGCACCGAGTGTATTTGCATCCTTTTAATCGACCTGTAAAAGAAAAAGACAGAAATAGAAAAAACTGCACTAGTTCCGCACTAAATCTACCAATCGGAAACGCCATAAAATTGAACGGCAAGACTGATTCTTTATTTGACCCCTAACTATTCAGTTTTCATCAGCTTCGTGGTGGATACATTCTATATTTTGGAAAGAAACATTCATTTGCAACTCCATCATTTGAAATACGAGTGACAAGTAAAAAAAATAAAAAAATAACGATCAGAAAGTTTTCAATGATGTTAGTTACAAGTATGCAGGGTGTATCATAAAAGTGTGGCGAAGCAAAGTTATACTTTTTTAAATGGAAAACCATGTATAATATTATCCCATTGAATTAGCCTTTCATACCTGATTCCAAATATACTTGGTTTTTTAGTTTATTCCTAATAGGCCAGGAGAAAATAGGGCAAAAAGGGGAGGAATAATTGCATTTTTATTGAAAAAGGTGACCTATAGAGACCACCAGCAAAATAAAAAGGTAATCATTCATGTAACAAATCCATATTATTTCTTCAAAATGGGATATTCAGAGGCTGAACTATGAGGAATAAACCTAAAAAACCTAGTATATTTGGAATCAGATTTGAAAAGCTAATCCAATGGGACAATAATGTACGGACGGGGGTTTCCATTTAAAAAAGTATAACTTTGCTTCGCCAAACTTTTGTGAAACACCCTGTATACTTGTAACTAACATCTTTGAAAACTTTCTGAACTACCTACAACTTTCATATTTGACATTTATGGGTACTTCTTCAAACAGGTGAGATAGGTGTGGGTGCAAAATATAAACAATCACCCGGTACCTAATGAATTTATTTATTTTGAGATCATGCCATTTTGAAAAATCACACAAAATTAGTGATAAAGTTAATAAAAAAATATGAATTACTGAAATGGATGTCATGATGCTTATAATCTTTTGCTGCATGTGATTTACCCAGGGGGTAGACCACCTAGGAATTCTTGTCACCAGCCTAGGGAAATATGTGGTAATACAGGGAAATACAGGGAAATATTAGGTATTACGGAAAAATATAAGGAAATACATTGCATCGTTCCACCTTGGTAAACTTTCAACTCCACTGTTCGTCGTTAAATCGTTCAGTAGCCAATCAAATTAGACAATTTTTATCATGTAGTCATGTTATGTCATACATAAAATAAAAATTTTGGAATGGAAATTTATCAGTTTGTTCTTTAAAAGAATTTTGTCCACTAGTTGGATTCTCAGAGATTACGGTTTTCATCCATTCACACTGAAATCTAAAGTTTTCCTGAAGCCGATCTTGTTCTTGTTTTTCTTTGGACTTCTTCTTCTAGTCTTTTCTTTTGTCTTCCGTCTAAGGGTCTTCCTTCTGTCTCTTGTCGTCCAAATTTTTCATGAAGTCCGCCAAGATTTGATTCACCATAGAATATCTTGTATAAAATAGAACACAATGTCATGTTCTAGAAAAATTACTCTGTGGACTTTTTTTTGATATTGAAATCAGTAATGAAGTCACTATTCTTGTATCACTTACGGTTTCCAAATAGAATTCTATGAGAGTTTCTAGAATTTTCAAGAAAAAACGCATGTGAGTTGGTTTTTCGATTTCGAAGCCAGTAATGAAGTCACTAAGTACTAGGTTTGTTCCAACACGTCAAAAATTGTCCCATGAACGGTTTTGTAGCCACTCTGTATACTATTTTGGGTTCTACGCACAAATTTTTGGCTTTGCGCAGAATTGTGACGATACATTATACGGTTTCTTGATGCAATGGAACAAAGGTATTACTTACCGTTTCCAAATAGAATTCTATAGAAGTTTATAGAATTTTCCAGAAAATCCGTTAACCAATTATGTTGCTAATTATTCCATTAATTAGCTCAAATTAGGTGATGCCCTTGGTGATACCCCATTAATTATCATATGCTAGATGATCCTACCGAAGATCCTACTAATTAACTTAATCTACGTCGGTGTCATTATGACACATTTAGCATTGTCATTTGAATGTCATTAGGTCCTTCATAAAGGTCTGTTCCCACAGGAGTCTCTGACAGTTTACAACCTCTCAGAAACAATCGCTCAGCTGAGTTTACCGATTTATCTTGTAACGACAGCATTGAAAACATACATGGGCGATGCTTACTGACAGTTTGCAAACTGTCAGAGACTCCTGTGGGAACAGGGGTATAATAGCACTAGTGCGTTTAAGAATTCATAATAACACCCAAATTTTGAAATCAAAAATATACAAAAAGAAAGTTAGTTGCCAGAAGAACCTTTTCAATAATGCTGTCTCTATATTCGAAGAGACACTTTCGAACTCAGATTCACCAATAATAATATTATTTTCCACTATAAAATTGAATTTATGGCACAAAAATGGACTTCAATATTGAAGCTGCCAAAGTCAAAATTCTAAAAACCAACAAGCAGGTTCTCGACTAGTACGGGCACCTGCTAAATTTCAAATTTTAATTTGAAAAGTTTTTGCTATTTCAAGGCAAATCAAATCTATTTGGACCATTGTAGATTAAATTTTGAATGATATACGTTCGATATGAACTTTATTAATGAAACTTGTGTAACTAAACCACTCGGCTGACGCCTCGTGGTTTAACGTTACACGCGTTTCATTATGGCGTTCATATCGAACTTGTATCATTAATAACTATAAATTAACGCACCAATTATCTTACTAATAATCGCATTTCTGACACCAAATTGTCACTGATTCTGGATTTCCTTAAACTCACTTCACAAACAGTAACAATGTAACAACTTGTATTAAACTGATTGATTTATTACAAAATTAACTTATCACTTATCGAACCATACAAATATTGGATTAAAACTAAACTCAAACCTATTACTACGCAATATTTATAGTCGAAATCGCACTCCGGATCTGTCTAGAAAAACATTGAATCGCATATAATGGAATTCCCAGAAAAGACGCGCTGCTCGACGTAAACAAGTAATTTTCTCAGAATCCTCGCCGGGTTGTCGCTGCATTTTCGCAACAATAATAAATGAAATACAGGGAAATATTGGGGAATTACAAAAATTACGGAGGGAATTATAAGGCATCATTATGGGGAATTATAAGGCAATATCAAGAATTACTGAATAATATAGGAAATAAAGGCAATATTCGGGAAATAATTCCCCCAAGGGAAAATATTTGTCAAAAATCTCAGGGGTGGTTTACCCCTTCGATTTACCTATTTTCTGTGAGCTTATTTTTTGATACAATTATTGAGAAGAAACCAGATAATTGAACAAATCACAAAAACCCTAAATAGAGTAATTTTGGTGAATAATGCAGTTCTTATCAGCTCCTGAAATAAATGTTTACTATGCCATTATTAGTTGAGAATGGAGAACAATAAGGTAGATAGTGAATAAATCAAAAAATCTGCTTTTGCTTTTGACATCTACATATCACCACATTATTATAACAATTTACAACATTGTCGTCGTTGGCCTTTTCCAAATGTTAGGGAGATTGTGTGCTTGACACTATCAAAAAATTATGAACTTTTTGGTTTAAATAGCGATTCCTACGGAAAGAAAGGAGTATTTGTAAGGGCTGTGCTGGAATTGACACAAAGATCTTTTTTATTCTTTTATCTAGAATGTAAAACCAAAAATAAAAACTTGGGTAATCTAATGAAGATAACTCAACTTCCTAACAAAGCGAAGATGGAAATTGTATTGTTAGCAGGTTCTTTAACATAAACACTTTCTAGTTAGTAGAAACATTACAACTTTATTTATAAGAAACTCAGGTACACTTCCGAAAAAAATAAATAAACTTTAAACTACCCCTATTGAAAAACGGCAGGGGGTGCGTAAAAACTTCATAAAGCAATAATGTTGTATATGTTGTAGAAAATTTTTTCACGTTGGTTAAAATTTTTCATTTTCATTATAAAATTTCAAACGGCCCTTATGACCACAGACGGCCCTTAATCAAAAAAGTCTTTAGATAAACATTGTAGATCAAATAATGTTGCACATTTTTTATTTGAAATTTTTTTTTGGACAATCAATAGGTACCAAGTAATCGCCAATGGCGCACTTTCGACCCCTATAGCGCAAAACGCCAGAGGGGTGAGTGTTTGATATTTTCGGTTTTATGATCACCCACCCGCCTCCTATCATCCCTGAAAAGTTCATTTGGGTAGGAATTTTTTTTTTGCAATACATGTCTTTTTCGACTATTTTCCTAGACTAATACAATTAGGACAGTTTTTTAAACAAGTTTTCTATCTGGGTTGAAAGACCCAACTATCACACCGAAGATTTGGCTGTTGGTCTACATTTTACAATTCCCAGGTGCCCTTCGTGAAAAAATCCTAAACATTTTAATTGAAGTGAAACTGGAATGAAAATACGTGAATTCCGCAATAAAAACCCTTCAGAAAATGAAAACTCGAATCTATACTGACTAAATCAATATGCTCTTATTTGGCCAACCTTTCTCCGTATATTCCTTAATTTGAGATGTAATAGGGTCTTTTTCCTGTTCACCTATAATTTCATCAAGAAAGAAGGATTTTATTTGAACTGACTGGACTATTAATTTAACATGAGCCTCGGTTTCCCACTGCAAATCATCCTGAGTTGGCAACTCAGCATTTGGAGAAAAGTTTCACGATAGAGCATGTTGCTCCTTTCCTGCGGAATAATAGATTTTATAATCATATCTCATCAAGCGGATCCTGAAACGCTTTAGTCTTGAGGTTAATTCGTCAATAGGTTTTGTCTGCAGAACTTGTATCAGTGGTTTATGGTCAGTTTGAATTAGAATGGGCATCCCAGAGACACACTCAGAAAATTTTTCAGCTGACCAGGTTAAAGCCAGAGCTTCACGCTCGATTTGAGCATACCTCTTCTCAGTGCTTGAAAATAAACGAGATGCATATGCGACTATCTCAGTATTTCCATCATTCGAAGACTGCAGTAAACAAGCACCCAGTCCGTAGGATGAACTATCTGCTTGAATATAAATTTGTCTTGTGGGGTCAAAGTAGGACACTTTAATAGTATTGCTTTTGAACATTCAAAGGCCTGTCTTTGAGAGATTCCCCAACTAAAATCAAAATTTTTTTTTAGAAGAGAAGTTAATGGCTCAAGTAGGTGAGAACGGTTAGGAATGAAACGACTTGAAAAATTTATCATTCCTAGGTATTGTGAAATCTCTTTTTTGTTTTTTGGCTCAGGGAATTGAACTATTGATTTTATTCTATCTGGATCCACAGAAATCCCTGTATTAGAAATAGTGTGGCCCAAAAACGTAAGAGATTGAGTAGCAACAATGCATTTTTCTTTATTTAAAGTAATTCCTTCCTGTTCTATATGCTTGAGAACCTCAAACAGAATATTATTATGTTCTTCGAGGGTAGGAGCATGGACTAATATGTCATCAATATGACTTATTACCTTTAAGCCAATTAATGTTTTGTTGAGTAACATGGAAAAATACTCCGGAGCACAAGTGAATACCGAAGGGCAACCTTTTGAAATAAAATCGCCCAAATGGTGTAATGAAAGTGGTCAAAAGTTGAGATTCTTTACCAATTTTAATTTGATACAAACCTGAATTAGTGTCTAATTTGGAAAAAAAAATTGGAGCCCTGGACCTGTGATAAAATAGTTTCCACCTTACCTATGGGAAAGTGCGAACGTAAAACTGCCTTATTTAAATGTGTATAATCTACATAGAGACGTATTTTGGATTTTTTTTGGACAACCACGATTGGACTGACCTATTCAGTAGGAACTTCAACAGGTTCGATTATTTCCCATCCCACTTTAAAAGTGGGATGGGAACAATTCGTGGAACTGATTGAATAAAAGTTTGAGCTCCCTCTACTAGCATGATCTGCATTTCGGTTTTGAAGTTACCGACAATACTAAAGATTTTAGGATATTTCATAATGATGTGGTTCTTTACAGAGCCATTAAGTTTGATAGGGGCCACCTGATTGGAGAAGAAAATTAAAATTTTCAGTTTTTCAATTGCGGTTCTACCTAAAATAGGTTTAGTCCGATTATCAATGACATAAAGCTCTGTACCAAAACTCTGATCTTGAAAATTTAAAACAACAGATATTGTTCCTAGCAGATTAAATTTAATCTCAGACGGCCCAGTAACTATTCTATCAGTCAATTCAATTTGTTTACGTAAACTAAAATTAACTAATTCTTTAGGTATGCGGTATGCATAATATATCTACACCTGCATCTACTAGAAAATTTAATTTTTTATTGATTTCTGATAAAAAAATTATAGCCACTCACTCCTTGGAATCGACATGATTGACTTGATTATGATTAATAGTGATAGTCCCAGAGGCCCGATTCTCGTCCCCATTAGGAGCCTCTGGAGTAGAGAATAATTTTTTTGTCCTTGTCAACGTAATCGAAAAGTGAACGAAAATGATAAAGACTAAAAATGTGTTCTCTCGGGGAGCTCTCCTCTCCCAGACGAGAATCGGGCAGAGAAGGTATCTGTACTGTACTGTCTTATTCTACGAGTCGTATTCAATGAAACACAATTTGTATGTTTTCATCAGCGCGTCTCGTAATCGAATGACTCCTCGGTTGCCGATGTCTAACGCATCATTACTCAGCAACCCATGAGTAACTGATATACGTACGGATCGATGCTCTTTATTATATAATAATTCCAATA